GCCGGTCCCTGCCGCCCTGCCTCGCCAACCGGACCAGCGCCGGCAGCGCCTGCGTGGGGCAAGTGGGGCAGCTCTTCCAGTCCTTCTCGTCCGCGCTGGTGCTGGTCGTGCTGGTCGCCCTCATCCTCGGCCTCATGCTCCTCTCGCTCGCCACCTTCCACGTTCACAAGCGCAGGATGAAGAAGCGGAAGATGCAGAGGGCGCAGGAGGAGTACGAGCGGGACCACTGCAGCAGCCGGGGCCCGCAGCCCGGGGCCGGGGCCGGGAAGCCCCCCGGGAGAGATGCCCGCCTGGGCCGAGCCCCGCAGGACTCGGGCGCCGCCCGGCCCCGCTTGGACACGGCGGGCGCGGGACTCCTGCAAAGCGTGGTGCTGTCCTGATGGCCCGGGCCCGGCCGGGGCTGGACGGATCTGGGTCGGGCTCATGCTGATGATTCCTCCCCCGGGCTGCTGAGCCCCCCCTGCCCTCCCGCAGCCCCCCACCAGACCAGCCCAACCCAGCCCAGCGCCTGCCACATCGCTGCGCCTCCTTGCCTGGGCGAGCAGGGCCAGATGTGCCTGCTGGACCGAGCCCTGGCTGCCCCCTTCCATGTATATAGCGATGGGGGTTCAGAGACCCCCACCCCAGGCTCTCCATTGCGGCTTGCATATAAACTGCCTGGCCCAGGCAGAGCAAGGTGGGGGGGGGAGGGAGGAGAGGAGCCCCTCCGGGTGCTTTTGAGGCTGGCCCCTCCCCTCCCCTCCCATTGCAGGACCCCCGCCTAGCTGCTGCCTCCCCGCTGTGTGGGCTCCCCACCTCCCTCCCTCCCTCCCGTTGGCCGACTGGACCTCAGCCCAGCTACACACGGGCTGTTTTGGCTCGGACCCCGTCCCCTGCTCTGAGCCTGCTGTTCTCTCCATCGCGGCTGCCAGCTTGCCCCAGCCCAGCCATGGGTGCAGCTGGGCCTCCAGCCCTCCCTCCTCTTGGTCCTGAGGCGAAAGGCAGTGCTGACACCCTGGACTGCCGGCTCTCCCCAGTCCCCCACCCTGGCACATGGCTCCAGCAGCAGCACAGAGCCGGCTTCTACTTTTTTACAGGCATTTTTAACCCTCTTCACCTGTGGCAGGCAGCTGTGAACAGAAGGCATAGGCATTTCCTTCCCCTCCTTGGGTACAGAGCCCCCCCCCCAGCAGCTTGCTGCTAAATCCTGGTCTGGGGCAACTCTTCCATGGAGCCTCCACAGGTCTCTGGGTGGACAAGTGGCTGCTTGCTCCTCTGTGCTGTGGGGGTATCTCTAAAGCGATGTTAGTTACAGGCAATGCAGCTTGGGTGGAATAAGTAAATCAATCCCCATTCTTCTGCAAACCGTGCCTTAGCAGGGTGGCCACTTTAAACTTTGAAACCTTTCCTGCTGGTCTTACAGCAGAGGCGATGCTCTTCTGTGCATGTTCATGAACCGTAAACACAATAGAGAGGAATCATCTGAAGAAGGAGAGCGATCTATATTTCCCTTTAGGCACACATTGCAAGCAAATCCTAACTGGATGTCATTCCCAAGGGTTTTTAATCTGTGCTCTCTACAGGCTTTCTCCTTCCTCACACCCTCCAGGTCCTGATGAAAGGGATGGCTGTTATGTTTTCCAAAAGCGTGGACATCTCCAGTGTGAAAGGTAGCAGGTTGGAATAAATAGCCGACCCTGTTAAAGATCGTTCCATACATTTAAGGAAGGGGCAATATGGCCTTGAGACGGGACCATGCACGGTTCTGGAAATGTTGCAAGATAGCTCCAAAATGTGGGGTTCTGGTCTGGTCTCTTTTCCACATTTTTCCCTTTACTGCCTCAGCTGATCAGATGGGGGCATTGCTGTTGAGCTAGAATCTATTATGTCTCCAGCCTTGGAGGCAAGTGCTCCATCATGCAACTAAAGGAGCTGCTCCATCAGCTCAGGTTAGCGTGGCAACATTTACCTAGTAGTGAAGGATGTTTTTTTACGTGGCAGTTTGATGCGGGTGTTGTGAGTCTCAACACCAAGAGATATGATTCTAACAACTGTCAGGTTGTCTGTAAGAAAGGAGAAAATCTGTTTTTCAATGCAGGGTGCATGAACTTTTCTGTTTAACCCCCTTACACAACTGCAGCGCATTATTGCACCACCAGGGAATGGATTTAGGATGCTGACGTGTGTTCAGGGAGCAGCAATGCTGCCTAAGTGTTGATTTACATTGAATATAGAGAGAAGGTTTTCCTCTTTATTTTGTGCCTTTCTTTAATAGTGTATAATTTCCAGTTTTATAAAGGCAGTAAGATGTTCCACCTTGCTTGAGTGCATTTCTGGTTGATGATTCTATTTCTCTAGTGTCTTAAGTCAGACACTCTCTTTTTTTCTGCCTTATGCACTCAAGGCATGCAATAATTCCCCAGAAGTGTACTGCTTGTCAGATCTTATTGCAATTATAAAATTGCCCTATTACTGGAAGAAAAAAGAAGGGTGGAGATATATATATACACACACACACACACACACACACACACACACACACACACACACACACAATCCTTCTATATGTATGTATTCTGTATAGAACATATATGTAGAAGAGTATATGGATTTTATATACTATATATAAAATTCTGATGTTACTAAAAATGTAATTAATTTTAAAGGTCTCTTAACATGTAATACTCAACTCTCTGTTAGTTAGCTTTGATTTAGTATTTTAATATCTCTGTATTTATGTAAATCCATGTAAATTATGTGGTCTATAAGTAAAATTTCATACTGACTTTAATTTTTCCAGAGCTGTGAGCTTCTTGTGATGGTGCATAAGTTTTTTTTTGTTTTGTTTTGTTTTGTTTTTTTAAATAAAATACATTTTACAAGATACCACAAGTTACAAATGCCCATTTCCACACTGCATTACCACAATAATGGCCAGGAGCCCTTCTAGTACACAGGCTTGGCTTAAAGCACTGGAGGTTTATGAGGTTTATTTGAACAATCTCAGGAGATAAGGTTGATACAGGCAAGACATGTAGATTTTCATTTTTATGAAACAGTAAGCAAGCTGGGGAATAAATGTGGATTTAAAAACAAAGGATTTTATGTGTACCGGGTCTGTCAAATCAATTGCTTCAAAAACCCTACAGCTACAGCTAAACTTATGCACTTTGCATTCAGTATTAATAAGGCTGATGGTTATTTCCCTTCTTCTACTCCTTTTTTAAACCAGAGAAGTGGAAGATGAGGCTTATGCCAACTCTGTAGGGTACCTAACACATACATTTCCAGTTTCATGTGAACTTGCCTAAAGGGCTTGAATTACAGTATCTATATTATACAAGTGTAATATCTATGTATCTGTATTTATCCAAATAGTTTTTGTATAGGGTTTTACACAATCTCTGACGGGATGGAAACCAAACCATTGTGCCATTTGTTTTTGTATGATGAAAAAGGATGTACAGCAGTGTTTTGTGTGCATTTCTTTTTCTATATATTGAGTATGTGTTCTGTTTTGGTAAATTATTCAGGAAACAGGATAGCTGAGCAAAGATTGTAATGCCATAGACTGAAAATCCTTTACTTGTAAGGGCCAGATCCTAGAATTAGATCTTTAACATTCTCAGTCTGAGAGAGAGGCATTTAGTCCACTGCTACCTCATGGCTGTTGGGAGACGTATATAATAATAGGTACTACAGAGCTTAACAATTATTCCATCACCATCCTGACAAGATAGGTAAGTGTTGGCATATTTATTTTACAGAGTGGCAAATGAGAGGTTAATATAAACTGAGAAGTCATACAGTCAATTAGTGGCAATGCTGGGATTAGGGGGTCATTGATTCCTTGTCCTGTGCTCAGTTCATCAGAACCCGTTACTTTTCACAGGGCTTGGTTCAGCTTCCACTGAACTCAATAGAAGTTTCTCCGTTGACTTGAAAGAGAATTAGATTGGGTTCCAGCCATCTTTCTAGTGGATCGCTGGCTACATCACAAGCGCTGGCACAGATATGTAACCTGGCTAGCTATTGCAGTAGAAATGGAAACATTTCTTCTTTAGAAGTGTTACTTCTGCCTCAGGGCTGGACCATATTGGCAGGGTAGCGTGGGGTGCTGCCTTTGCTGCTGTCAATGCTGCTCCTATGAACTTGAGGTGTGCAGGTTTGTCAGTCCTGCATCTTTAACCAAAAATTAAATTCACTTTCTTTTTTGAAAAAAAAAACCCAACTGTTTAAGCATTCTGTTGCTTTTTTGACTACCACATAGACAATCTCCAGGATGAAACTTGGAAGCACGAATTCTGTCTGGAAGTTTGTTTTCCATAAAATGCAGACAATAATCATGCAGGCAATCTTTAGTTATAGAAAAAAATCCAAGCAAAAAATAAAATAGAAATCCAGTGTGAGATAGATGGCAGTTCTATAACTAAAATGTTCTGGTTTTCCTTTTAATTAGAATTTTAGAGCCCACTGTTTGATGTAAACTACTAAGGAGAAACAGTAAAAATAGGAGTCATTTGCAATGATGATGTTAGTTATGTAAAGGACTATAAGTAGCTGTATAGCAAGTTCTTATGTAACTGACTTTTTTCCAGAGAGTTACCAAGTACTTTTCATATTATTCTATAAAACAATGTCCAGTGTTCTGAAACAATTGTGCTTTATATATCATGTTATAAATCTTAGTATAACTTTCATGCAGGGAGAAAACCCCCCCCACTACTTTGACTCTTTATAAATGACTGAGCTATTATAAATCCAATCATAGGATGTGTTTACATTTGCTTTTCTGCATAATCATACTAATTGCATACTTGTATTTTTTCCTGTGGGCCTTTTGAAATTCCTTATATTTTAACAGTTATGC